CCGAAACATGAACTTTTAGAAGAAGCTCTTTATTGTTGGTTCTTACAATAACCATCAACTGGGCAACCAACATCAGGACCTTTGCTCTGTGAAAAAGCATTACAGTTAAATAAAAAATTAGGCGGCGATGAATCATTTGTGGCAAATAACGCATGGTTGTACAGATTTAAATCACGTCATGGAATGCGTGAATTGGAAATACAATGTGAAAAAATGTCAGCTGATGTAGATGCAGCAAACTTTTTTAAAGATAATTTTAAGAAGAATTCGAATGAAAATAACTATGACTTGGATTTTGTTTATAATTCTGATAAAACTGGATTAAACTGGAAGTAGTTTCCTTCAAAATCTTTAGCTTCTAGGCGAGAGAATTCAGCTCCAGGATATAAAAATATAAATGTGCTACTTTAACTGGATAATGCGCCAACCCATCCTTCACCTGAATTGTTAGAGAGGGAAAATGGAAAGTTTAAAGTAAAATGTTTGTCTCCTTATGTGACATCTTTGCTACAATAAATAGATCAAAGTGTTATTGAAACATTGAAACGACTTTATAGAAAACAACTTCTACGTAGGTGGGGATAAAGAAGATAATGTAGAAGTAGTATTATCATTTTTTAAGGACATGAATTCAAAGGAGTGTTGTTACATGGTTGTAGATGCATGAGATTTGATTGAAAGGAAGACTTTAAGCAAGGCTTGGAAGGAGTAGGTCACTTGTGACAGTAATGATCAAGGATTTCAGATTATGCCTGATGACAAAATCGTAGAAAACATTTTGCAGATAAATGAACAGCAGGAAATGCAAGAAGATAAAACAGAAGAAACATAGACGTAGAAAATGATACAGGACCATCTCATGATGTAGCATTTCATGCCCTGGAAACTACTCTCAAGTGGTTTGAAAGAGTGATACTGTGAGTTTACTACAACTGAAACGAATTCGTGATATAACAGCAATGAAGAGAAAAAGTTGCTTACGTCAAATGACAATTACCAAATATTTTAAACCAAATTAAACTTATTACCTACCTACTTATTTCATGATTAATGCTGCAGTTTAGTATTGTGTATGTAATGTAATCTAAGAAAATATGTACATACATACATAAGTAAGTGTTCATTTCTTAGTAAACATTGATTTTCGTTGATATCTATTTGTTTTTCTTCACACATTCGATTATCTGGATTTTCGATTATCCGAATGCCTATCGACAACAATTAGTCCGCTTAATCGAGTTTCTACAGTACATACATTGTTTTTGTCATTGAAAATGTGGTTGTTTGTTTCTGATGTGTCCTGAAGTGTTCCCGAAGTGATTAATGTGCCGACATATGTATATACACCCGGCTCCGACTTGCAAATGCCGCGCTCTGTTGCTCCTGCTTCTTGGCTTTGAGAGTCGGCTGCAGTGGGTGGCAAACTCTCCTCTGTAGCTGGAAGCTCAGGCTCAGGCTCAGGTCTTGTGTATTTGTGCGTTTTGCTGATTTTCGTCCGCTCGCCTGTGCCTTTTCTTAGCATCGCTGCTAGAAAAGTATTTAAACTCAAATATTTTTTGTGTAAGGCAATGCGGACGTAAGTATGTGTATGTATGTACGTCAATCATCGCGCTTAAATAATTTGCGCTTGGTCGACAAACAGTTTAAGAATAAATTAATTAAGATTTCCAAACTATTAAATTAAGTAATTCTCTTATCCATGTTCTTTGATCTGCTGCCAACTGACTGTGAATAAGCGAATGACTATAAAAAAGGCGAAAAATGCTTGTTTGTGTATGTGTTATGTTTACGTGCATACATTTGAGTGAATTTGAAGTAATACGGTGGTATTATGCGCTAAAAATATTTATCCGTTTTCAATTCTTCCTTTAAGCAGTCATTAGGCCCATTTGTCCGTTGTGCTCCCTGGTGATAGCCAATTTAAGTCTTATCCAGCAATTTAGTGGCTTTTTCTCCACTAAAGCGGCCCAATGGCTCATAAGTTGAAATACTGGAAGTCGTGGAATATGTCCCTCTTCATCCGGTTGAAGGCTGAAGTTTTGTTTAGATAGCGCATTCTCTGCGTTTCGTCGAATCCACTTTTCCCATTTTGTGATAGTAGAATCTTAAGGGTAGATGCCCTTGAATGACCCCGTCAATGATATTAAGCTCAGTAACATTAAGTTGTGGTTACCTGATCTGAGGTTCGAAAATTGCTTCAAGCAACTCTCTTATGGACTTGCTGGTTAGACCAGAAGCCCACTTGCCATCTTTAGTTATGTCTCAATTCCGGCTTGAAATACAGAATTGTAGTCATCTAGTTTGCCGTTGCTTTCTGTGTGCGGATGACCACAGAAGTAGCAAGTTAAAGTTTTTGTTTTGCGCTCCGTCAGTGATTATCTAGATTTCTCCATTGGAATTGTCGACCACGGAATCATTACTTCAATCTTCTTTTCTGGGGAGTGAAAACGATGTGTTCAGTTCCTAGTGGATCTTCTTCACTTGGTCGCCAGCCAGAGTTCATTGACAAGGTCGATTATGATACCGTGCCTGTGAGGACGCCTAGCCTGGCTCCAATGACCTAAAATTATATACCAACTGGCGATAAGCATTGCCTCATACCTCATTTGTATGTGTATTGGCAGGATATCGAGGATCCTCACCAAGTAGCAAGAGTTTTTCGTTAAGACCATACACCATACGTTAGTATTGAGCGGATGCCACTTCTATAGAACCAATAGACTATGCGGTGTCGTAAACTCCACTTTGGGGAATTAGCTCTTCTGTAGGAGTTCCAGATTATTAGGGCTTTTTTTAAACATTAGTTTTTAACCTATGATGACTCCGAGGTGTCTTACAGAGCTCGAGAGTACAATTGTTCTAACCGTTAGAGATAAGATTGGTAGGTTTTTTGTTCTTCTTGATAGATAGATCACTAAATAAAAATGTTATAGGTATTAAATAATTGTAAAAATTCTACGACGAGGTTCCAGATAAATCAGTAAAATTTGGGAAAAGGCCCCACCCACTTTTGGTTGAAATTGTTGATGTAAGTTACTACTTTACCATTTACGACTAATAACACCCACTATACCAACTGTTGAAAAAAGCGGTCAGTTTAGACAGTTTTGTATTTAAAAATAAAATTGAAAGCAACGCGCATTTTAATTTGAAAATCGATTTTAAATATAAGTGTTTGTATGTGTAGTGTAATGGGAGCATAAGGAAACGAACAAATGCCAAAATTTTTGAGAAGTAAATGAGGACTATAGCGAAAGCGAATTTGAATACCACATGAGAAAGAGGCGTTCAATCATAAACATTTTAACCAAATTTTTATACCCTTTGCTACAGAGTATACTAGTTTTGTTCACCTAGCGGTTGTAGTATGTATCACCTAAAACTAAGCGGTCACTCGGATTTCGACTTTTCCTGTCGAAAATCTCAGTGACGGTCTGTCTATCCGTCTATCCGTCCATCCATCTGTGCGGGTTGTAACTTAAGTAAAAATTGGGATATCATGATGAAACTTGATAGGATAAAAATATAGGCGCAATCGGTAAATAAGTTTAATGTTCATATCTCTTAAGCCAATAAAGTTACTATAACCAAGTTCTTCCAGAACCAATAATGTAAAAACATCTACCGACAGTGTGTCAGATGAAATCGGAAGATAACCCCGCTCACTCCTCCTATAACGGTACAGCTAAAAACTGCTAAAAGCGTAATAAATCAATAACTAAATGCGCCAAAAACATTAAATTTAGCTCTGAGGTGGTATGAGAATATTTTATGGAAGCCGTTGTGAAAATTGAAATATAGGCATGGCACCCCCCTTTTTGGTGAAATCCCTTATCTCGGGACTAAACGATTACGTCAAAATTTGTCACGGTCGAAAATGTACAAAATCGGACAATAACCATGCCTATTTTTTATCGTATATAGACCAATTTTGAATTCCACTTGTTTCTTTCACTTTTCAATACACAAATCAAAAAGTAATTAATATAACGTTATAAAACTGAATGCACTGAGTGATGCCCTTAGTATATGCCCCTTTATGAAATATTGGTACCGAATATTTGGACTCCAGTACCTATAGTTGACTTTTGACGGAAAATATCGGCCCATAGTACATAGTATTTGGTATTGAGAAAAATAGATAAAATCGGATCGATATTACCCCAACTCTCAAATACTTCATATATTGGTTTTCGTTTTTCTAACAAACCTTTTGTGGCTGTCAGTTATATATATTATTGGGGTACTCACAACGTGTCATAAAGTTATAAGTCATAAATAAAAATTAAGAAAAAATACAATGGTTGTGAACACGTCGTTATAAATTTGTTGTTGTAAATCATTTATCAATCAGCTGATTGTAAAAACATAAATTAAAATATTTGCAAAAATAAGTATTTCGCAGTTAAAATGCTAAGGAGAAGTGAAAATTTTAAAATAATGGATGCGCTGCGCAAGAATCAGGAATTAAACCTGATGTCAAGTATCATCAGGTGAGTTTTACCATTATAAGCAAGGCTCACTTTGATATTTATTTACGTAAAAATTACTTTCTATTCGACGACGAAGATGCGGACGAAATGTTTGCCAATTTTTCATTGAGTTTACTCTGCTTATTAAACACTCGCAGAAGTGTTGATTTCGGAATACCAAAGTCAGCCCAATGGTGACATGATGTACTTAGGATCTTTGATGACGGCCATTTCACGAAATGATTAGTGTTCGCCCGGACGAATTTCGCCGCAAACGAGATTATATAAACGACCATAGTGTATTTAACACAAAATCTAGTGGAGCAGAACTTCCTTTAGATTTACAATTAAAAATAGTGCTATTTAGGTTGGTTTTATCGGATATTTGAAAATCCTAACTGTTTATAACCCCTTAATTTCCAAATTGAAAACGAAGAAAGCGTTGAAATTAACCCACCTCAATATAGCTGCTTACCACCCGGAAGAAACACAGGATCTAGCCTTCTTGACTTCATACAAAATCATTGATTAACTTAAAATACATCATTTTTTCATCGTATATTTACTCAATACCTACCTACATATGTAAAAATGTTTTTATTCTATTTAAAAATTAATATAAAAAGTAATTATTAAAAATGAACTTCAGGTACATTAATTTACTTCAGGTAATTTAAAATTCTCTTGCACCACTTCTTCCACTTATTTGTATCTGTGTTTCAATTCCTCCATTGCCAATCTTTTTTTCATTTGTATTTCCATTATTTTTAGTTTTTCATTACTTTCCAATTATTTTAGTTTCGTCTCTATTTCTTTGTCTTTTCGTAATAATTGCTTTTCCGTTAACTCCACTTCTTTTTGTTTTAATCATCAATTCCCTTTCTCTTAATTCCACCTCTTTCTCCTTAAAACTCATTTCGTGCTCAATTTTCTGCCTTTTCAACTGTATCATTTCAGACTGAAATTGCAGAATATCTGATGCCGCAGTTCTGGAATACATTCCTTTACAAATCTTCTCATACAGCCGCAGAAGACGCTGACTCGTTGAGGTCTACTTCCGAACAGCTTTCGTTGTTTTCCAAACTATCGTTGATTACTGCTGGCACAATCACTCTGCTGCCGAAAATTTAATTTTTCCATTTCATAAAAAGATTTACACATTTTAAGTGGCTGAAATAAAAATGCCTAGTTATTCTAAGTAACACTAGAAGAATGAATAACATTTAAATTCTCAAGTTCTGATGCGATTTACTAGTCATTCGGCTTCATTTTATGATTTGAACCATTTACACAAATTCGCAATTGTCCTCAATACTATTTGCTTCACTTCTATGCGTACGCAGCAACAGTGAAAATTTAATGTTTTTTACAAAACAAAATCTTACCCTTCATAGTTTCACTTTCCATACTCCCTGCACCCGTTGAGACTTCCCATGTTTTGCTTCGTTATACTATCCGTATATGTTGTACGCATATAACGAACCTTCGAGCTTCTAGTCCACCGCAATGTTGCCCTCCTTTGCAAATCGTCTATAATACATTTGAGACGTTGGCTTCTATAATTAAAATTATAATAGATTACTTCTAAGTTGTGTTTTAATTAATAGATATACCTAAAAATCTCTGTATTATGTTTAAAATTCAATTAATGACTTTTCTTCTTCAAACAGCCACTTTCTGGTTGGGTTGGAACGCACCCGCTTTGCTTTTGTCTATAAGCGCATTTAATTAGTTAAACTGTATTTATTATGCATTTTTATATTACCTGTATTACATTATATTGCTCCATTATTCCAAAAACCCTCGACAATAGATTATTGAAAGAAATTTAAATTTAAACACAAATGTAGCCACAACTCAAAAGCAATCTGATGTAAACAGAAATCAGTTGATCAGTTATGACGAACCGAATACATTGTGTTCAGAGTTGTATTTACGTAAACTTGTTTTAGTAGGCAATCCAACAAAAAATATTTACACTAGCATAAAAACTTATGATTTTCATGTGTATATAAAACTTCTGGGTTTTCGATACTCTGGTTGGCATTTTATAGTATACCTTAAAGTATTTCCCTGGATTCTTGCAAGTTGCAAAGGTATAAAATATTCGGTTGCACCCGAGCTTAGTTCTTCTTGTTAATAATTCTTTCCTAACAAAACGACAGCTGACAGTTTAAGCTTAGTAAAAATGGCGCGTTACACGATTGTACAACGTGTCTTCAGTACAAAATAATGACAAAGGAAAACAAAAACATTCCAAAAATTTTTTTTATCGGACAACTATGGCAAATAGCTGTCATACAGACTGACCAATAAAAATAATATTTTTGAATGGAAAGTTTTTTTCTTTTTGTGAAGTATATTATTGCTTCGGAGCAACCGAAGTTAGCGTTTTTTCTTGTTCCTGTTTAGAAAAATCTACAATTATGAGTAACACAGTCACCAACAGTTATATTCGGTAAAATTATTTTATTTCAAAGCAATCTATGTCAGCATATATAAAAAATTTATTAGTGCTTAAAGATTCTAGGTAAAGTAAAAGACTTGGCGCTGTTGTATTTCGTAAGAAGTCTAATTCGAATTTGAAGAAGAAGTGCAAAACGGGCTCGATTGTTTAGTTTGATATGCAAGTTGATGCCTATCTGTTTTACATGCTGTCAAATTAGGTTAAGATTTCCTTAAAGGCCAATACTTAATGCTTTCAAATATAGATCTTGGTATTTTGATTTTTGAGTTGAGAAGTTCTTTGAAATTTGCAAATGGTCATAACTGGGAGGCGGTCAAGGAAACGGGGAAAGCAACTTAGGAGTATGATTTCTAGTGCTATGCATATATTTCGATCTTTACTCGACATTAGATTTGAGTATCAGCTGCATATGTATTCTGCAGCATCAGAATTTGTACCTAAAATGTTAATCCAAATGTGTTCATACGGTTCCTGAAAACTGTTCAGGTCGATTCTGTTATCTCTAGCACAATTTTTTCCATAACAATCGCCTTAAAAATTTATATGTATGTTACTGTCGTGTGAAACAGTAGACAAATGATTGCTACTTTGTCCAGTCATTATAGTAAGTTCACCTCGGAATTCGAGATATCCAGCTGTAAGTCTGTAAATATTGTATATTGACACCCTAAAAGTTGTCTCAAAACCTACATATGGTAGATACACCCTACCTAAGAAAGTTTTTTCACTATCGGTACATATATTTTTTTTATGAATATTTTACATTCTACTATTACCCAAAGCGCCGATGTTGTTTCTGATTTGCAAACTCTACTCACTATTAATTGAAATATAAGTACAAAGTGAAAGAACTTTGCGTGCATTCCGAAGTCGAAAAGGAAAATCAAAACGAGAAACGATTTAGCCGACTCCAATTTAAACTTCAATTTGTAAAGTTCTTATATTTTTCATACTCCATTCCGCGTTCTAATGAGGTTCAAATAATCCCAGCAATTTACAATATGAACGGTCAAATGGAGTTTGCTTAAAAAATAATCACAACTGCGTTGTAAATGAGACTCTTTTTGTAAATCTATATTGTATAGAAATAAGTATGGTATATAGGAGGTCTTCGCATGCACAGCCGAGCACTTAATATCCAAAGCAATTTGCAGTTATGAAAACGACTGGCAATATAACCGCAGACAACGAGGGGAATGGAGGCTGTCAAATGCGAAAATGGCAGAACTAGACAGAGAGTAGGTTAGTGAGAGTTGTGTGAGAAGTCAGCTGAAATAAGAGAAATAAACTTTTGGTAACGAACTAAGTGCCCCAGAATATACTTAAAAACATGAACCATTGAAGGCATTAGACACATAGAACCCCACCGACGTATAGTATTTTCTTGAGGTTTTCCAAAGCACACTGATTGCAATAAGCATAGAACTGAATTGCACACAAGTAGCGATGTAAAGGTCGCAGTTTAACGACGGTTTCAGCAATAGAGGTAAAGTGCCGTTTTGCGGTGGACGCTAAGTCATTTGGCAAGTCACAAAGTGGAGAATTTTGCGGATAGTGACAGTTACTGCACCATTAACTGATGCACCATAACTGGCTTTGGAATATCAGCGGACGATTTCAGTGAAGTACAAAATCACAAATGTGAGAAAAAGGATGCGTGCAATCTTCGCACTACGGAGATTACGATATAATAAATGGAATATTAACAGCGAGAGTACTCGGTACCTGCGACGCGGCCATATTGGAAAATCCGCCGCACAGCAACAACCTTTGTGCAAGTAGTCCATGCGAGAGTATTTTGCTTTGCAGCTTTGAGTGAATAACAGTAAAAAGGAAAGTGAAGCGTCACGATTGGCTGCACAGCGAGGGCGTGTCTCTATGCTTGGTCTGAGTGATTGTTGAGTAAGTTAAGAGTTCTTTCAGGAACTAAGTGCGCATGTGCAGTATTCAAGGAAGAACTAGCATGTGTGAATATATTGAGAGCATGTAAAATTTATAGAGTGGATTAGTTTGAGTGTTTAAATGCGCAACTCTGACTATGCAAGTGGGGTTGGTTGCTGAAAGGTAATATGCATGGTTTATTGGGTAGAGTGAGGAAGTGAAAATGTACTCAGCGCAGCTTTTCACACAACCAACTCCATTTTTGTAGCCTACTTCGCTCACATGAACTCAGGCTAGCAGACATACCAACATTTGCATTTTTTGTCACTTTGATAGTGCTTACCCATTAGCCTGTCCTGGAACATTTCTATTACTTTCTTTATTCGGCACATACGTTTGAATACCTGAAAGAGAGTTTGCTGGACTGTTTGATGTGACGCCGTTCGGTGCGGCGTAGAGCGGCGGGCAATGATGTAAATATCTACTGTCGTTTACGGTTACAATGACAACCATTTATGACAATTAACACTTTAGCTAGCTGCTTATTTCCGGCGTCGGATTACTCTGCCCTTGCTAGCAGCAGCGAATTGGCCACAAGGCTGCTGCAGGCTAGCTAGTTAACAATTGTCGTAATCCGTTGTTGGTAAATGGTGCTCACAATTGCTTTAAAGCGAATTTGCAGTTTATAATATTACTACTTCGGACTTACAAACAAATTTGTTTAGCAAATCGCATTTACACTGTTTATATTTTTCACAGTTCCGAATGTTGTGAATATTTGTTTGCGAAATGAGTACTCCCTCTTAGTTCACAGCCTGAGACCTCATTGCTCATTTAAAATTGTATGTAGGCTTCTGGCGTTAAGGCGCCACTCAGTGTCCTGCATTATTAATTGCAATTAGCACGTTTTTGTTTTCATTTCGCCCAAATCACATTTGCCTATTCGCGCAAATGAAGCGCAACCAAAATGTGCAGCAGAACAAGGACTGTGGTACTAAGCGGTACCGCGCGTCTAGTCGCGGACGGAGAAACTTTCTAATTACGTGTAAAGTGACCGGTAACTCGTGTTATAACTTGCCAACGGTTGCTGTGAAATGCTATGGAATTTTTAATTAGTCCCAAATTGAAGTTGGAATTTGCATCGAATTTAAGATCAGATTGCATCACAGCTTTTCATTATCCTTTTGCTCATCGACACCTACAGACACATCGAGACAAATGGACTTAGATTAAATATTAAAGCACATTTTCCAGTATATACGCTTAATAGCGTTTGACTCAGAAGGCAGTATTTGTATTTTCCAATTAAAACAGTTGATTTATGGCTTGATTTTGCTAGAGTATTACTGGGGTTAAATAGACTTTCGTATAAATGGCCCCCATAGAGTTTGCTGAATGGAAATATTTACGGTAAGCCAGTAAAGATTTAATCCGTCGAGGACAAACCTAAAAATTGTGTGCGTTTTTATACTCTCGCAACAAAGTTGCTAAAGAGAGATTATAGTTTTGTTCACATAACGGTTGTTTGTAAGTCCTAAAACTAAAAGAGTTAGATATGATGATCAGGGTCTGTCTGTCCGTCCGTCTGTACGTCCGTCCGTGGAAGCTGTAACTTGCGTAACAATTGAGATATCATGATGAAACTTGGTACACGAATTTCTAGGCTCCATAGGAAGGATAAGTTCCAAGATGGGCAAAATCGGCCCACTGCGAGGCCCACAAAATGGCGAAAACCCAAAACCTATAAAGTGTCATAACTAAGCCATAAATAAAGATATTAAAGTGAAATTTGGCACAAAGGATTGCATTAGAGAGGGGCATATTTGGACGTAATTTGTTTGGAAAAGTGGGCGTGGCCCCGCCCCCTACTAACTTTTTTGTACATCTCTCATAAACTACTATAGCTATGTCAACCAAACTCTACAGAGTCATTTTCTTCAGGCATTTCCATATACAGTTCAAAAATGGAAGAAATCGGATAATAACCACGCCTGAAACACCGAAATATGGGTGGAATCGGTTCACAACCACGCCTTCTTCCAATGTAACGCTATTTTGAATTCCATCTGATGCCTTCTCTGTATAATATATACATTAGGAACAAATTATGAAAGCGGAATAAAACTTTACACAAATATGGTATTTGAGCTGAGGTATCCCTTGTGGAAAAATTGTCGTGATCGGACTATAACTTTTCAAGGTCCCTGATATCGAACACGAAGAAATCAGTGCCTAACCTAACCTCTTCTAATTAATTTTACAGCAAAATAAAAAAATATGTACATGACGTATATTGAAATCTCGATTATCACTTTATCATGCGAGAGTATAAAATGTTCGGTGACACCCGAACTTTGCTCTTCCTTACTGGTTATGAGCTGTATTTGGTTTCAAAACCTTCAGTCAATAGAGCAAGTCCTGACGGCTTTACTATCATTGCTGTAAAAAATTTGTAAAACAGTTTTTCGTTTATTTATCTGATAAGATGTCCGAATCTAATCT